CACTTTCATTTATTCCTGGACATTGACGTAAATGTTGAGCCATACTGTTAATAGATACTGACTTGCCTAGAAAGAAAAAGTCATGCTTTGTTTTATGTTGTCAACCATTCAAAATTAAAGCAATATTTTTAATAAATTGTAGGTGTTAATAATAAAAGCAAATACAAACTCAACCTAAAGCAATAACTTAAGCTATCATTCTTCACTCGGCTACGTAGAAGTCATACAACTCTCTAACTTACGTCAGCAATAATTCATTGTTATTGCTTTTGATGAATGATATCAAATGTGACAGTCTCTATATATAAGCATGACTAAATGCAGAAATGCACATTATTACGGTAGTTTCAAGATGAAATTTTTAATGTTTATAGTCGTTCACTGTCTTTCTGTGAGTTACTGTTCAAGTCTCTCTGGGTTCAATCTCTATCATACTGATTATCTGCGAAATGATCTTGATCTTGATTGTTTGCATTATCATACTTATAAACAAGGTTTAGCTCATCAACTTATCGAATATTGCATTCGATCGGAGCTCGACAAATATATATCATACGACAGCGGTCAACATCGTGCGTTTACATTTGAAAATTTAAGTAAACAAAATATAACTAGTGAAGAATTGTACGAATGGTCAGCACCTGTAGATCTTATTGAAAATTATCAAATATATCTTGATAACAATTCAGCACCAAGTAGATTTTTATTTTATAATTGCACTTTTCCATGGTTTGGTTCACACTGCGAGTATAGCTTTGATGAACCCGAACTTTCTTTTGAAAAACAAGTCAACAAACGTTTCGAAGCTAACTCTAATGATTTCAGAATTCCTGATATGCTCCCCTGTTATACCCATGTACAATGTGATCGTACGGGTGATCGTGGTCAAACACCAAGTGCATGTCATGACTGGCGTGAGATATGTGATGGAAAAGTTGATTGTCTCGATGGTGGACGAGACGAAGAACAATGTTGGCAGTTGGAAATCAACGAATGTGATAATGAAACAGAATTTCGATGTCACAACGGACAATGCATTCCTCGAGGTTTTCTAAACGATGATATGAGAAATCCTGACTGTTTGGACCAAAGCGATGAAAATCGTCCTCGTTCGTTGTTGCAATCAAGTGATCCAAATGAAGTATTTTGCCACGTAAACCCTGGCTTTCAGTGTGAAGAACATAAATGTCATAAAAAATTGAATAATGCAAACATTATCGAGTGTGGCGATGGTTCATGTATGATTGAATTTTATCTTCCTTGCCATAATCATCGAAATAGCATATTAACAAGCGCATTTCTCGCAGGAGCAAATGTTTCCAAAGAATGCCGCGAAGTTATTTCCTGTTTAATGGGCATTTTGAACTTTGCTAGTGACATAAACAAAGCGTGCAACATGAGTCTTTACACTTACGCTAGACTTACTAAACAATATTGCCCACAATTCATCGAATTTCCACCTGTTTTATTCGGTCATGTACGTTTTATCTACAAAAATGATCAATTTCATGTGAGTACAGTATTGATAAATCTCTGAATTATAAAAATTGATATGCATATGTAACAAGTATCCACTTGCTGTAGTCTTTATATTAATTTTTTTGCTTTGGAGCCTTTCATCACTCACACTTACCGAAAATGACTTTCCATTTCTTATGTTGAAATGATATTTTAAGATGACTTGATTGACAGTGGAATATATCTTCTTTACGTTACACTACTTTGAAGTTATGTCAAACCTAGAAGACAGTGCCAAAAAATGATTATAGTATTGTGAAGATTTCTAAAATTATCTCAACACCCACTGATAATCTTAGACGAAATCAAGACAAACTCTGAATAGGATAATCATCAATCATGAATGTAGTCAATGCTGAAATATTGTTGATTGGAAAGAATAATAGACCAATTTTTAAACAGAGAAATACTGTAATTGTATATGTAAGGAAAGTTAGCAGCCGATTCGAGTATTTCCCACGACGATTCGCCCAGACGCCTAAGCCACCTTTGAAAACCACACCAATCGATGCAGAATCTCGAGACCTATCTAATGGTGTACAGCTTGCACGGCTCAACATCAATTAGATGGGACTTTCACACATAAAAACCTTACAAACCTATGAAAACTAGAGACTTCCGAGTAACACTTATGACGATTCATTGAGGTATATAAGCCACTGACGAATCAAATATGATTCGATGCAGAATTCAACGCTGTATCAAATGGTGTATAACTTGCATGGCTTAACAAGAATGAGATCGAGCTTTCACCCAGAAAACCCTCGAAATCTTAGACAAGTTGGGATTTGCGACCAGCAATTCTTCTAACGATTTGTTCAGGCACCTAAACCACTAACGAATCATATATGATTCGATGCAGAATTCGACGCTCTATCGAATGGTGCACGGCTTGAACGTCTTCGGAAAAACTAAATTGGAATTTGACACATCAGAACCTTGGAAATTCTGGAAAAAGCGATTATTGTGGTAGGTAATTCTGATGGGGATTGTTGTGAGAAGATAAACCATGATGAGTGATTTATCAATCGATGTAGAATTTGAAAATCTAGGGATTCGTGTGCGGTTGTAGTTTGAATAAAGATGCACAGACGCTGAAATATGTGTACCGCCACTGACGTTCACGATTCATACAAGTTAGAATATTTCTTTTGATCGAATCACGCGTAAAGGCAATATCAAGCAGACAATTGTGTTGATGACTAAGCCGCAGCGATAGGCCACAAAGCCATTCTTTCCTAAGTTCAGCTATTCGCGGACACAGTACCATTGTGGTTCGTAACCGTTTCATCTAGTCAGGTAATTATCAGTTATGGTTGTGTTAGATGGCTCTTTCTTAATGGTAACCATGTGAAAGCTATTTTCTTTGTCCGTTTTTTTCATTTATAGTCAAATTGTACGTGCTGACCTTATGACATATAGTTTGAAGGAAGAAATTTCATGCGTTCATTTAAAGAAATCGTCACCGTCAAGTAAAATAAGATTTCCCATTAATGTTAAGCCAAGCTAGCCGGGTAAACAGAAACTCCATCTTACTCGCTTGATACCAGTGGACTGAACAAAAACAGTGTTACATAAAATAAATTAACTAAAACATACATCCGCACCGTTAACCAAACCTTATCGGGAAAATATGATATACACGCTAGTTGACAAAGGTCCGGATTTCACATTGATCCAAATAACAGGTATCACTCCTGACACTACTTACACCACTCTTCACAAACTTTACAGTGTTGTCAACACATTCGTCCCCATATATAAAATATATCCACCCATAAAATATTTTCATACCCATAAGTCACAAAGGATTTCCAACGCTTTCGAATCCCAGATCCACTGATACATGACTAGGCGTGGCTTCTATTCAGAGGGAATCATCAACAGAAGTAGGCGCCACAAAACAGCATTTTGAGCATTTCTCAGCATTTCATAGGTAACCCTGGTTTGTCGTTGGCTCCGTGCTATGATAATTCTAAACCATTCCAGACGGTGCTGAATTCTGCATCGAATAATGTGTCATTCGTCAGTGGCTCAGGTACTCCAACGAATCATCAGCAGAATTGCTGGCGAGAAATCTCCACTTTTCCGAGTTTTCGAGGGTTTTCTGGGTCAAAGCCCGATCTCATTCTTGTTGAGCCATGCACGTTTTACACCATTCGATAGAGCGTTGAATTCTGCATCGAATCATATATGATTCGTCAGTGGCTTATATACCTCAATGAATCGTCATGAGTGTTACTCGGAAGTCTCCAGTTTTCATAGGTTTGTAAGGTTTTTATGTGTGAAAGTCTCATCTAATTGATGTTGAGCCGTGCAAGCTGTACACCATCAGATAGGTCTCGAGATTCTGTATTGATTGGTGTGGTTTTCAAAGGTGGATTAGGAGTCTGCGCGAATCGTCAGAGGTATTAGTTCGGAAAATCTGGTTTTTGAGGTTTCCTGAGAACTCGATCGGTTATGAGAGACTTTTCTCGAGATGAATTATATACCATATGATAGAGTGTGAAATTCTGCATCGATTGACGTATGATTCATGAGTGGCTTATCCACTCAAGCGAATCATCACAGGTTTTACGAAAAATGCTTTTTTTTCTCTATGGACCTTTTGGATTCTTTTGGGTTTTTTTGCTATCGAGTGGAAGTTTCGGGGGGTCCGAGGACACCGTTAGATAGAGCTTGTCGAGATCTAGATGGCTTACTAGTTTTCTTTTTGTGGCTTAGTCGCTGAGGCGAATCGTCGTGGGAAATACTCGAATCGACTGCTAACGTTCCTTACATTAATTGTATTATGATTCTGGTTTATTGTCATAATCAAATGTATGAGCAACATTTTTACGTACCTTCTTTGGTTTTTTTGACTAAAACGACAATAATAGTTGATGAAATTTAGAATAAAACCAACGAATCTCCTAAAGAGAACATCTCTATTTGTTATCGATTTGAGGGTGCATCTAGGAAACCAACAATGACCATGCTTTGATACGAGACACCAATCAAATTTTAACTTTTTTAATAAGGCACATGCGTCGGAATCAGTGATATCACAAACCTTCCAATTCAAACTTTCACAGAAACTTACTTTGAGACGCAGCTAAATTTTGAGTACTCGATGAGTCCTATGACAATCTATCATTAAAACTTGCTTGCACAGCGATTTCGCGTTTTCTCGAATCTACCCCAAAGTTAGCGCCGGTTAATTTTTTCACGAACTATGTCGAATGAGCCAATATTTTGAATGTGAAAACTATGGGTGTCGCTAGTTCAATTGGGCATGTCAAATAAAAAAAAAAAAAATTTTGCTGAACCTCAGTAGTCTTATGGAAGCTCTCTTGATCTGTTTATAAAAATAATTAATAATGAAATTCTGGATATTTGAAAAATATAGAATAAAGAAAATTTTTTTTCTGTGACAGGTAAATGGGCAAATACCTAGTATTTTAACCGGTTACGATAATCAATATTCTTTCTTATCAAAAACATCACTTCGACATGTTATACTATTAAAAAAGCAAGCAGATACATGAAAAATATATGCAAAAAACGTTTCTTGCATATTTTATTTCGATCTATGATATCATAACTTTAGGTGAACTACTTGACGCAGATGAAGGCTTAAGTTCCCATAGAAAGAAGTTTCTTTATTATTTGTTTTGCCTTATAATTTATTAAAATAAAAAAGAAAAGTTTTTTACCTTGATTTTATCAATATAAAGATTGTATTTTTATTTATTTCATAAAGTAAAGATAAAGTAATACCCCTGTTCTCAAGTAGTCACCAGTTCCACAGTAGTGTCAAACTTGAAACTTGAATTCAATTGAAATTTCAAGTTCCAACTTTCAACTTTCAAAATCGTTTTGCGACCGGTCCTTTTCTGGGCAGTCCTTTCGCGGCACCCACACCAGCTGCGATGATGTGTGTCTGAGAATGCGGGTTAGTTGTGATTCTTCAAAGTGCTGCCCATTTGAGACTTGAAAATTGAAAATTGAAAATTGAAACTTAAAACTTGAAATTTCAATTGAATTCAAGTTTCAAGTTTGACATATATGGAGATCCTGGGGTTTTTCAGCCTCAGCAACATGAAAAGTCAGCTCAACATATATTATATGATAGAGGAAAAACCGCTGAGTCTAATGACATATTTCATTACTAAGTAATCATTAAACATGGGGTGTCTAACTATTAATCACAATTAGAGTTTTCCGCAGGTCGTCTGCTAATTTTGATTTTTCGACTTTGAAACCAAACGGAATTTTTTTCTATTCATTCCTTCTTATAGAGCATTAAATTCTCTGCAAACTGAAGTGATTGGATTAATTGTAACTATTTATCTTCAATATGATAAGGCTCCTTTTTTAAGAAAAGTTTTCACTGAAGAAATCCTAGCGAAAAGGGTTCTCTATACTGCTACTAATAGAAATGGAGCCTTATGATATCCAAGATAGAGAGTTACAATTAATCTAATCACTTCAGTTTGCAGAGAATTTAATGCTCTATAAGAAGGAATGAATAGAAAA